CGTGCTTGCTTGAGCAAGCAAAGTCAAGCCTTGTTCGACTATTTGTCTATGTTTCCTCTCCACTCTCCCATTTTGTTGATGAGTATGGGGACATGGATGTCAAAAAATAATTCCATGATCACTAAAGTAAGCAACTAAGCTCCTATATTCCCCTCCCCAATCAGTTTGGACACACTTTAGACTAGTATTAAACTGTTTTTCAGCCAATTTGTGAAACTGTTTAAAAATAAGTTGAGTTTCAGACTTTGTTTTCAAAGGCAAAATCCAAGCAAAACGGCTATAGTCATCTAAAAACTGAACATAATACTTAAAACCTTCAGGTGAGGGAATAGGAGATAGTCCCCATAAATCTGAGTATACTAGTTCTAAAGGATGTGAAGCTTTAGAGGCAGACTTAGGGAATACATTCTGATGCAGTTTTCCATATTGACAAGCAGTACAAAATTCAAACGTATTAGTAACAGTATGATTTAATCTTAGAGACTATAGAATTTTTGCAAGGACAGAGGCATTAGGGTGACCTAGGCGTTTATGCCATAGCAAACCACTACTTTTTGCAACTGAAATAGATGAAATGATATGACTTTTATTGCTAATAGTATCATCAGTACGAGAGGATACACATGGAATGGCAGAATTATTTGGTCCATCAATTGAAATATTAGAAGGACAATTATTATTAGCATCATTATTACAATCAGCAAAATATGGAGAAAATAAAGACTTGGTGGTTTGTGGTGTAGAAAAGGTTGCGGAATTGAAGGCTGAGACTATGGTAAAAGGACCAGCAGCCTGATTTGAGGTTGAAGAAGATTGTGGAGCTGGAATTTGGAGTTGATAAAGACCATCCTTAAGCTTTCCTTGAAGAAGAACAGCCTTGGATTGTTTGTCCTTAATCACACAATGGTCAGCAAAGAACTCAACTACTACACTATTATCTCTAGTGAATTTGGAAATACTATGTAAATTTTTAGTGATATGAGGCAAACATAAGACATGTTTGAGATAAAGGGATCTAGAAGAACAAGGTAATGAAGTAAAACCAGTATGAGTAATTGGAAGTAACTCACCATTTCCAACGTGGAGCTGCTCATGGCCTTTGTAGGTGGAATTTACTGACAGTTGTGCTAGGTCTGATGTTACATGGTCAGTGGCTCCAGAATCCATATACCAAGATGCATCCTGGACAGTTGAAGGAGCAGCAATATAGTTGGTTGTGGGATGTGAGTAGTGCTGTGGATGCGTCTGAGATAAGAACACTTGATTGTGTCCAATAGGTGTGGGTGAATGAGATCCTGTAAGTATTTGTGATTGTGCCAGAGCTGTATTGGGCCCATTTGGGAAGCAGGTTGAAGTGACATTTTGTGAGCCTAAGTTAGGATAAGGTAATGAAGTGGAGTTATATGAGTTATAGGAGTTGTAGGGAGGTTGAGGTGGAGGTTGTGATAAGGTGAAGGGAAGGTATGATGAACCTTGAAAGTTTTCTGAAGTTCTCGGGAAATTGATGCTGCCAAACTGACCTCTTCCTACTGAGTTACCTCTTCCCAAAAAGTTTGTATCAAAACGATGATAACAATTGAGGGCAAGATGTCCACTTTTGCCACAAACTTGGCAAATGATTCTACCTCTTCCAACTCCCCTGCCTCGTCCTCTGCCACCAGCAAATTGAGGAGAGTAGGGATGGTTTTGTGATGTAAATTGATTAGCTCCGAAGCCAGGTTGGTGAGGTGTGAAGTTATGAGGGGTGAAATTAAGAGACTGAGATTGTGGTGGTTGAAATTGATTCTGCCCAGTATTGAGCAAAGACAGCTCATTCTGAATTTTTTTCTGGACTCATTAGTGGTGACACTGGCTAGATGTACAAATCCACCATGAAATTCAGTACCTATAACTATGTTTAACGCTAAGTTGGCTTTTTCTAACCTCAGTTCAAATTTCTGCCGAATAATTTGTGCTTCTTGGACAGAAAGGGGATCTAACTTATACTCCAACCTTGTAGTAATATTGACTACATTAGCATCATATTCAGAGTTTAAACCGTCAAGAATGTAATTTAGCAACTCCTCATCCTTAACTACAATTCCACTAGCAGATAAGGTTTAAGCAAATCCCTTCATTTTGACAAAGTACTCGTGAACACTAAGGTTCTCTTTCTTGGTATTTTGCAATAAGTTTCTAATGTGTAGGGTTTTGGTTCTTGATTCAGTAAGAAACTCTTTCTCTAAAGCTATCCACATATCAGCAGAAAATTGACACTTTGATACAACATTAAACATGGACTCTGAGATAGATCTAAGAAGCCAACTTACAAGTAACTTGTCAACTTTCTTCCAGTGATTATGAGCTGGATTAGGTTTCTTTTCAGTTGCTCCATCAGAACTTTCGGGTTGAACTTTGATGAATGGAGCTGGACAAGAAACTAATCCGGTGAGGTGCTCCTCTAAATCGTGTGAACCAATAGCGAACAAGATCTGCGATTTCCAGAATCTGTAGTTGTTTCTGGTTAATTTTGGGGAGATTGCTGGAAGAGTAGAGGAAGACATAGGGGCTGTATTTGTGAAATTGTTAGAATCGGCGGTCAATTTTTGGCCAGAGTTGTTCGGATTGGGAGTGACCTATGACAGATCTACCATTTTCGATGTTAGTCTAATGGCTTTGATACCATAACAGTTCTTGAACTAAGCTTGAGAGAAGAAAAGAAAAAGTAAAGTGAAAAGGAAAGTCAAAGAAGCTCACGTGAATTGTATTATTATTTAGCTTAAAAATAACTATACAGTAGGTAGCACTTTTATAGTGCTCTGTTAACAAAAGCATTGAAGTGTAACTAAATCTAACTATTGTAACAGATTGCTAACAATTTAGTAACTGAGCAATCCTAACTGTAGTAGATTAATAACTAAACACATTTTCCTTTTTCATTAACAAAGATCAATAAAATTCAACATATAATCTAAAAGTAAGTACTTACCCAATGAGATTCATAGGTTCCCCTTGCCATGTGAAGATGTGCAATGGTCCTTTCATCACATATTCTAAGATTAACGAAGCATTAAATTATGACGTACATATTATCTACATATACTGTGATAATGTTGTGATGCCATAAGAAAACTACATTATTTGATACATTTCTCTAACTATAATTTCAAATTATTTTTCGCCTAAATTGGTTATTTAAACTCTCTAACTATATAAACACTTATGCAAACCAAGACACTTTTATTGTTTTATCATTCATCTATATTAATTGAAAATATATATATATATTTATAAATTTATTCATTTATTTTGTGTTACTTCAGATTGTATTAAATAATTTATATATTTAATATTATTCTTTTCAATACTATCAATCACTTCCAAAATATGACTTAACTTTCTAAAAATTATGATTGTCAATAAAATTAATCAATTATGGTGCATGAAATGCTCTCCTTTAAATATTTTTCAAAAGTCTATTTTATTTAAATATTCTTGTGTTTGAATATAAGTTATTAACTGTGTTTATTATATTTATTAAGTAAAAGTATAATAAAAATATTTATTTATCTTTAGTATTATAGCTTAATGTTGAAAAACTAGCTTAGGGTTTGCAAACAAAACAGAAAAACAGAGAGAAATGTGTTTGATTTTCTTTACTTAATGATTCAATTTGTTAAAACTACAGTAAAGAACAACTTTACTCTTTTATACAAAGACAAGGACGAAGAGTAAAGTAGTAAAATAAAGTGCATTGTACAACTGACTTTACTGAAATAAAAAAAGACAACGTCTTGCAGAATTAAATTTTCCTCCTGCTACTTGAATTTTTTGCATTTTCATCCTTTGACCAACAACCCCTCTCAAACTGGACATTCTCCTTCTGCTGCTTCAGTAGTCTTTCTTCCACCAGCATTTCAAATTCATTGGCTCTTTGACCAACATCCCTTCTGAAACTAAAGTCTCTTTCTAATACCTCTATGCTCATATAACCCCTTTAGGTAACACACACTCAACTTCTTCAATTAGCCATAAAAAAAAAAAAAAAAAAAAAAACTTTACTTAGCCACTTAGGATAAGCAGCTCAATTTCAGTTCTACATATTCATTTTCAGTTTTCAACGAACCAAATTTAAGATAATCAGCTTTTTAGTAGCATCAAAAACAACAAGAAGAACATAAACTAGCTCAAATCAACTCTGCAATTTCAGTTTCAACAGTTTCAACTTCATTTGAGCAACTCTGCATTAGCACATTTTTAGTAGAAATCAGCACATTTTCAATCCTACTTTTTTGCAGTTCCAACTAACCAAGCTTCAAAAAACACCAAATCATAACAACCAATTCAAAAACAACTCTGCAATTTTAGTTTCAACAGTTTCAATCTTCAGCTGATCAACTCTGAATCAGCACATTTTCAGTAGAACTCATCACATTTTTAGTTCTACTTTTGCAGTTTCAACTAACCAAACTTCAAATAATCAAACACCAAGAACATAACAACCAGTTCAAAACAACATCTCAACGTAACAACTCGTATCTTATCATACAGTTACAAACTGCATTGCTCAGCACAACCAACTAAAGTTCAATCACAAACCTCTAGTTTAACAACTCTGCACTGTAAATTCATGAGCACAATTCTACAACTTCTTCAACCCTTCACAGTTTTGTAAACTGTCTCAAAATCATAGATCAATACTGCAACACATACTTTGCCAGTACTACAAAACACCCATCTGTCACAACTACCACAACCCTACAATCTACCACAACTTCTTCAACACTTCATCAGTAAAAGAAAAAAAAAAACAATACACACATCTGTCATCTTCTGTACTACAAAAATAGTAGCATAGAAATCAATAAATAGCAGTTAAGAATCAGTACAGACTGCATATTTCAACCATTTTTCAACAGTAGATTTCAACCATTTTCCAGGTGCATTCTGATCTTCTTCTGCATTACAAAAATAGGTAAGAATCAATACGTATTACAAGGAACTGCAACGACATTTAGTTTCTACCTTAGCTCAGTAAATTGAACAACAGATAATGCCTTTGTCAACACATCTGCAATCTGCAATTTTGATGGTGCATATTGAACTGTCAGATTCTTGGCAAGAACTTGCTCCCTAATGTAGTGAGCATCTATTTCTATATGCTTTGTTCTTGCATGAAAGACTGGATTTGAAGCCAAGGCTCCAGCACTTGTATTGTCACACCAAATTACAGGTTTTGAGGGAAAGTGAAGGCTGAGTTCAGTGAACATACTTTGAAGCCATGCAACCTCTGTAGCAGTTTGTGCTAACGCCCTGTATTCAGCTTCAGTGGATGATAACGCAACAACTTTTTGTTTCCTAGAGCTCCACTGAATTAGATTAGGTCCAAGATAGCCACAATATCCACTAGTAGATCTTCTATCTTCAACATTACTACCCCAATCCGCATCAGCATAGCACTCAATGTTTAGGGAACTTGCTAGTTTAAACTGTAGCCCATAGTGTGTCCCTTTAACATATCGCAGAACTCGCTTGCATGCTTGCCATTGTAACTCAGTTGGGGCTTGTAAAAACTGACTACAACGATTAACTGTGAAGCTAATATCTGGTCTAGTCAGTGTTAGGTACTGCAAGGCTCCTATTGTGCTGTGATATAATGTAGGGCTCTCAAATAGATTACTGTCATCAGTACTCAGTCTAGTGCCAACATCCATTGGTGTAGAGCACGGGTGGGCATCCATCATTCTGGTTTTGACAAGCAAATCTGAGGCATATTTGGACTACCTGAGATGTATACTAGCTGCTGTCCTAACTGCTTCTAGGCCTAAAAAATATTTGAGTGATCCAAGAGTTTTCAAGCAAATTGCTCATTTAAATCTTCCAACAACTAAGTTATATAGGCTGCATCAGAACCAGTGATTAAAATATCATCTACATAAACAAGAACATAGATTAGTCTTGATGATTTTTTAAGAACAAAGAAACTCGAATCTGAAACTGAGTTTTGAAAGCCTTTGGCTAGGAGAGCAGCCTTGAGTTTATCAAACCATGCCCTAGAGGCCTATTTAAGGCCATATAAAGCCTTGTTTAATTTGCACACATATGAAGGATGAGCAGCTGATTCGAATCCACTTGGTTGCTGCATAAACACTAGCTCACTTAGAGTACCATTAAGAAACGCATTGTTGACATCAATTTGTTGAACATCCCATGCATTGGTTACTGCTAGAGTGAGAACTATTCTGATGGTGGATGGTTTTACAACTGGACTAAATGTCTTAAAATAGTCCAAACTAGGAGTTTGTTGAAACCCCTTAGCTACTGGTCTGGCTTTGTACTTCTGCAAAGTACCATCAGCATTCAATTTTGTTCTGAAAACCCATTTATTACCCACAATATTCATGTCTGCAGTAGGAGAAACAAGGGTCTAGGTGTTGTTCCTAATTAGAGCATCAAATTCTGCCTGCATAGCCTCTTTCCAAACTGCAGTTTTTAATGCTTCAGCAACTGACACAGGTTTTGATTCTATAATGGGCTGACTAGCTGTAAGATAAACAACATGATCCAAAGACTCACAGGTTGAATTAACATGACCAGCTGCAGCTTTGGCCCTTGTAATCATAGGGTGAGAATTAATTTTGATAGGAAGTTGATCATTAGTGAACTGTGAAGTAGTAAGGTCAACCTCAAGTTGACAATTTGGTAAAGTACATAATGATGGACTGGTAGGTAATGGAGATGGAGAAGAACAAGATAGAATAGACTGAGATTGAGTAGTCTACAAATTTGTATCAGAACTGCCAGAGTGTGCTTTTAGAGGTGGACTGGAATTAGAAATCTTGCAACTAGATGCAGGATCACAAGCTGGTATTGGAGTATCTAGGTCAACTTCAATATGACATGTTGGAAAATTGTAGGAGGAAGAAATAACAGGTAGTTGAGACACTGGATTAAGACTGTTTGAGTTAGATGGGACAGATTCTGATTGAATGGTATGTAATGGAAAACCAGATTTTTTTGCAGTGACCTCAGGTAGAATTAAAGAAGGACTATAGCTAGAACTATCAGCAACTTTAGAGATACTAGGTAAGGATGAATCAGACAAGTGTGAAGAGGATGTACCTACTGCTAAAGAGTAAGTACCAACTGCTGGATTGTTAGGAACAGTCTAAGAGCCAGTTACCACTTGGGGATCAGAGGCTACTGAAGATGGACTATGCTGGAAAATTGTATATGGCAGTAGATGTATATTACTGGAACAAGTATTAGGGGAATTGGCTGAAGGATCAGTATTAGGTTGAACAGGAATTAAACTCTTGAGAATAAGGAAATTCATTTTCATTAATCTTAACACTAGGAGTAATAAAGATCTTCCCATCAGCCCTTAGACATTTATAACCTTTGTAAAGTAAACTATACCTGACAAATACACATTTTGAGGAATGAAAATCAAACTTGTGACTATGAAAATTCCAAAGAAAAGGGAAATAAGCACAGCCAAAAACTTTAAGATTATCATACATAGGATATTTATTAAAAAGCAAATAATAGGGAGTGTTATTATTTAAGACAGTAGTGGGCAGTCGGTTGATAAGAAAAGATGCTGTTTCAAAGGCCAGCCACCAATATTTTAGGGGCATAGATGCATGAGCTAATAAGGTAAGTCCTGTTTCAATAATGTGTCTATGTTTCCTCTCACTACGACCATTTTGTTGGTGGACATAGGCACATGAGTACCTAGGTTGAATACCATTTTCAATCAGATAAGGAAGTAAGGCTTTGTACTCACCTCCTTGATCTGACTGAAGACACTTTAGCTTAGTTCCAAACTGCCTCTCAGCAAGGTGATGAAACTTGATAAAGGTAGATTCAACTTCAGCTTTAGTCCTAAGAGGAAACAGCCAGGTGAACCGACTAAAATCGTCTAGAAACTGCACATAATACTTAAATCCTTCTACTGAAGTGACTGGGGCAGGACCCCACACATCACTGTGAACAAGAGCTAAGGGTTCTATGGCATGAGATTGGGACAAGGGAAAACTGTTTTGATGTAACTTTCCTAGCTGACACGCATCACAGAAACTAGACACTTTGGTAAGCAGATTCTGATTTTCAGTAAGAGAAACAGATTTGGGAAGTGTAGACAAGACTTTATGTAATGTAGTAGAGTTTTGATGACCCAATCTTTTATGCCAAATCATGTGTTGGTATGAGTGTTTGTCAGCAGTCAAGCAATTTGGTGTGGAACCAACAATTGAAAAAACAACAGCAGACAATTATTCATTAACAGGACATTTAACCTTGTTTTTAACCATTGAGGTAGCAGACTTAAATAATAATTCATCATCATGTATTTCATTATTATGAACAGTAGAACAAGCATTAACAGGGTAATTAACATAGTTGTCAACCATTGATGCAGGAGACTTAAATGAGAACTCATCAGCATGTATTTCATTAGTATTAATAGTAGAACAAGCATGAGATTCAACAAGAATACATTTTGACTCATTTCTGGAACAAGAAACACTACACTGTGTTGTAAAAATAGCATCTTTATTATAGCTAACATTCGAAACTACATTAGAATTTTTATTGACATTTTCAACTAACTCTAGATGTTGGTTGGACAATTGAGGAGTGGTCACAAGTTTATTGAAAGGCTGAGAGGAGTCTTTGATGGAAGGGCTCATAAAATGTGCAATGGCTGCTAAGTTTTGGGATAGATAGACTGTATTTGCTGTATTCATACCAGATTGATGATAAGAGACACATGGTTTTGACAGATCAGTGGTGTTTGATGGAATTTCCAACTGATAAAGTCCTTCTTTAAGACCCCCTTGTAGTAACATGGCCTTGGTTGACTTGTCTTTAACAACACAAGAGTTAGCATCAAACTCAACAACAACATTATTATCCTTAGTAAACCTAAAAATACTCAGTAGATTTTTTGTGATTTTAGGAACAAAAGTATGTTTTTAAGATAAAGACACTTAGAATGAAGACTACTAGGAATAAAAGAATGACCAGTATGGGAAATGTGAAGGTACTCACCATTGCCAACCTGAAGTTTATCCTCACCTTCATAGTTCTTGCTAATGGTCAGCTGAGATAGGTTGGAAGTGACATGATCAGTTACCTCGGAGTCCATATACCATGCTGGATCAACTGGAGTAGTGACATAAGCCTATGGATTGTTGTATAGTGTTGTACAACTATGGTCTGAAAAAGCATTACTTCCAGTATACACCATTGAGTTACTACTAGTATGAACCAGATTTGCTTGACTATTGGCTCCCATCTGGTGACTAGGAACTCCAAAACTTGCTGGAGTACTAAAATTACTCTTAGGAGTTCCAGTGTACTGTGACTGTTGTGGGATAAAATGTTGTTGCTGTGACTGATTGAACTGTGACTGCTGTGGTTGAAAAATACTATCAGGATGTTGCTAGGAAGTACCAATAGGAGGGTACTGTACTGGTTCAGTAGGATAAGTGTTGAAATGTTGTTGTGGTACTGGATTAGTATATGTGTGACTGGGAAAGCTTCCATTGCCAGCTTGAAAAGTGCCATTATAAGTTGAGTTATATCTATGATAACACTGTATGGCTGAGTGTCCAGCTTTATTGCACACTTGACAAATAATTCTCCCTCTGCATATACCTCGACCTCAGCCTCTTCCATATGTGTTAAAACTAGAGGATCTAGGGTTAAAGGGCATAGTGTTGTAAGGTAAATGAGAGTTAGCAACAGAACCAGGAGAAATACTGGTCATTCTTTTATTCCTAGTAGTCTTCATTCTAAGTGTCTTTATCTTAAAAACATACTTTGTGTTCCTAAAATCACAAAAAATCTACTGAGTATTTCTAGGTTTACTAGGGATAATAATGTTGTTGTTGAGTTTGATTGAACTGTGACTACTGTGGTTGAAAAATACTATCAGGATGTTGCTAGGAGGTACCAATAGGAGGGTACTGTACTGGTTCAGTAGGATAAGTGTTGAAATGTTGTTGTGGTATTAGATTAGTAAATGTGTGACTGGGAAAGCTTCCATTGCCAGCTTGAAAAGTGCAATTATAAGTTGAGTTATATCTATGATAACACTGTATGGCTGAGTGTCCAGCTTTATTGCACACTTGACAAATAATTCTCCCTCTGCCTATACCTCTACCTTTGCCTCTTCCATATGTGTTAAAACTAGAGGATCTAGGGTTAAAGGGCATAGTGTTGTAAGGTAAATGAGAGTTAGCACTAGGACCAGGAGAATAAGGTTGAGTTGTGGTGTTGTAGGCAGAGAATGAAGTCTGAACAGATGGAACAGGGGGCTGAACAGGTGAGTTTACATAGGAGGGTAAGGTGACATAGTTTTGTGAGGTGTGTGGGTTCCCAAGAGACATTAGAGAGGGTATGGTACTACTTAGATTGTCTACAGTTTTAACAGGAAGATTGACTGGTAAACTAGTACTAGACACATTATAACATCCATGATTCATTATGGAGGCTATATTTGCTAAAGTGTTGTATAAATCTGTGGAATTAAACTTCTCAAGACAGATTTCATATTTCTGCAACAAAAATTGTGCCTCTTGAAGAGTTATAGTATCCACTTTCGATTCCAGTCTAGAGGTGAGTGTCAATTCCAGTCTAGAGGTGAGTGTCATTACTGCTGGATCATATTCAGGCCCTAGACCATCTAACACATACTGTAATAAGT